CTCCCAGAATCTCTTTTACCTTCATCTGGATCTTTCCTTCTGTTATGTTTTCTTGGTTTCCAGGCATCTTCTCAATCACTGGGGGGACAAGAGGTTGCACATCCACCTCTGGCCACATTTCAGAATCATTAATGGCTTTCATCATATGTGAATGTGACCTTAGGAATGTGTTCCTACTGTAACAGTTATCCACAAAGTCTTCAGGATTCTTCCCCAAGTAAAAAATCCCACTTATTGCATGAACACATGGGATACCAGTTAAATCCCACCTTCTACAGCTACAAGTCTTTTCTGTCAAATGAACCTTGAACCTAGTTCCTATACCATTCTCTATCTCAAACTGATCCTCACCATTCCAATGAGCAAAAAAATCAGAAGCTCTCTTTTTCAGCTCCTCCAAGATCTTAACAATCTTTGGACAGATAACACCATCATATTTTAACATTTGATCCCTTCTCTCATGCAATCTCTTCATGAGTATTAATCTGACATGTTCTAGGAGTTCAAGAATTGGCTTCTTTCTGGCACTCAAAATCATGGAGTTGAAACTTTCACTGTAGTTATTGTAAAGAATATCACTCTTGCTATGAGTTGAAAAGTGGGACCTTGACCAATGACATGGAGGAACTTGAGCTAACCACTGAAATGCTTTGTCATCTCTACTTTTCATTTCATCCATAGCCATCTGGAGATCAACCACTCTTGATGACATTGATGCCTTGAAGAGGATACCTTTCAGAGCCAAACCCCTGTAGTTTTGCTTGAAGTTACTGTACAGATGCATGACACAATACCTATGTTCAGAACCAGGGAAGAATCCGTTCACTGCATCAACTAACCCCTTCTGCCTATCTGACATAACTGTCCACATGTGGGCTTCCTTGATGTTCAGATCAAGTGCTAAAAATTCCATAAACCATCCCCAACTGCTTTTTGTTTCTTTTTCAACAACAACATATGCAAATGGAAACATGCTGTTGTTTGCATCTAAACCTACAGCACTCAGCAACACACCCTCTGCAAAACTTCTTAAATGACAACCATCAAAACATATAAGAGGTCTGCAACCCTCTAAGAACCCTGATTTCAGTGATCCCCAACAAATGTAAAGTCTTCTAAAAACAAGTTTACAATCAATCATGTTAGACTTGATCTTCACTGTGGTGTTAGGGTTACTGTCCTTAATTTTTTTTGCATACCTCCACAGCAATGCATATTGCTCACTATCCACTAGACTTCCCATTT